ACCGATGTAGAAAGTGTGACTTTCCACTTTCTACATCGGTTCCTAAGGAACCGATGTAGAAAGTCTAATATTTTTATATATTTTATTTATTTTATTTATTTTATTTATTCATAACCCCTCTCCAATTACCCTATCTATTGATCTAGAGGTCTCCTCTCCCTTTTATATTATATTTTTATTATTTATTATATTATTTATATTTTTTAGAAATTTGATTTATTATCGAGATTAAGAGAATTGTCACTGGCAAGATTCGAACCCAGTACCTTAGAGTCGGAGGCTGATACTCCAACCACTAAGCTATTAGGATTTTCTCGATAATAACTTATACATAAATTATATTTATATACAAATAAAAATGTATATCCATGTAAATATATAAATATAAAATATATAAATATAAAATATATAAATACAAATACAAATATATTTATATATTTTATATGTTGGATGTGAGGAATTAAAATATATTTTAGTGACCGATTCAGTGACCGATTCATTGACCGAATTAGTGACCGAATCGAGTGACCGATTCAGTGACCGAATCGGTGACCAACTGGAATCGATCACTATTTCCTTGGTCACCGATATTAGTGACCGATTCAGTGACCGATATATGAAGGGATAATATTGATATATTAATATATGAGGGGATAATATTGATATATTGATATATTTGTATATATATATATATATATATTTATATATATTTATATATTGATATATTTATATATTAATATATTTATATATTTATATTTTTATATGTGCAGGGGCGTTTCGCTCGAAGCGATAGGATTGTCGCTTAAGCGAAACACAACCCGAGAATGCCAATTTTGTGCAGGGGCGTTTCGCTCGAGCGAGAAGACTGTCGCTCAAGCGAAAGACATTTTAGATAGCGGTTACACAGGAACCGCTTTTAAAAGCTCACTTAGATAGCGGTTAACCTAGAACCGCTATGATATCGTTCAATTATGATCGATCAAAATGCAATTATGACCGATCATAATTTTGTGCAGGGGGCGTTTCGCTCGAGCGAGACGATTGTCGCTCAAGCGAAACACAACCCGAGAATGCCAATTTTGTGCAGGGGGCGTTTCGCTCGAGCGATAAGACTGTCGCTCAAGCGAAAGACATTTTAGATAGCGGTTACACAGGAACCGCTTTTAAAAACTCACTTAGATAGCGGTTAACCTAGAACCGCTATGATATCGTTCAATTATGATCGATCAAAATGCAATTATGACCGATCATAATTTTGTGCAGGGGGCGTTTCGCTCGAGCGAGGGATTTTCGCTCAAGCGAAACATTTATTAATTCTATAATTTTATATAATTATTATTATTATAAATTTAATTTTCTAATAACTAATAATATTAACACATTTATTAAATTAAATTTCTTTATTTTAATTAATTATTTTAAATTTTTAAAAAATATTTTTCAAATAAATATGATAAAACTTAAAATTAATTTCTAACTAATAATATGGTTAATAGTATATTATATTATTATGTTTAATTAAATTTTAAAATAAATTTACTTAATCTTTACAATTTATATAAAAATAACTAATATAAACTTAAAATATATATCTAACTATTAAATTATCCAAAATATTAATATAAATTTAAAATATCAATTCAGTAATTAAAATAATTTTAATTTTTTTATAAATATATTAAACTGAATTTTTCGGTCACTAATTTCTGGTCACTATTAACCATTTTTCTAGTAGTGTATAAAGATTATATGCTATATTATTATAAATAAATTATAAAGATTATATTCTATCATTAAATTACAAATTCATATAAAGAGACTCGCTCACAAATTTGACATCAAATTTTGAAAACCCACTTGACACACACTTTCACTCTCGAGCGCGCTCTCACATCCAACATATAAATATATAAATATATTTGTATTTGTATTTATATATTTTATATTTATATATTTACATGGATATACATTTATCAGAAAATCCTAGTAGCTTAGTGGTTGGAGTATCAGCCTTCGACTCTAAGGTACTGGGTTCGAATCTTGCCAGTGACAGTTCTCTTAATTTTATAAAATGACTTTCTACATCGGTTCATCTGAGAACCGATGTAGAAAGTATTTTCTACATCGGTTCATCTGGGAACCGATGTAGAAAGTGTTTTCTACATCGGTTCATCTGGGAACCGATGTAGAAAGTCTTGAATCCACTTTCTACATCGGTTCTTAAAGAACCGATGTGGAAAGACCGATGTTAAAAGTGATTTCTGTACTAGTGCAATCATCATCGTATGTTGTTTTAAAACTTAATCTTGGAGGCAAGGTGACCAATATGATGATAGTTGTATATATTCACATACAATGAAAATTATATGTATAATCATTATCAATTGCTTCACTTTGAACTCGACATCCACATTATTGAAAATAGTTAATGTTAGATAAAGGTCATTAGTGGAAGAAGCCAAGGTGAAATTAGAGGAATAATGACCTATATTATTGAATTACCAACTATACTCAAGGTTTGTGATAAGAGGAAACTTACCCTTCTTGTTCACCTTAGTGGTGCTTAGACTAGTCTTTATTCCCATATTTTGGGACTTGCCCTCCATAGGCATAGAGGAAGGGCCCTATGCTTGGTAGAAACCCTTTTAAAAAAAGTGACTTAAGCCATGTTGGCATTCTCCCCACGGCCAAACTACCATATGAATCAGAGATATTCTTCTCCAATGAACTCATGGCTCATAGGTTGAACTTCACATTCAATCACAAGTGATTCAGTGAAGATCCAACCACTCAAGCCATAAGAGGAAGAAAAATACAAAAGACTTAATCAGAATTGTTCTTACAAGCTCGAACACCAACCTTCTCTTGGGCTTCTTTCCTCTGAATCTTCTCTAAATGTCCATCCAACTATCTTGGGAGGCAAGTTCTCGAATCAGGCCACTTATGGTGGGGATACCTGCAAAGATACTTTGATGCTCAAGTTAATTACGAGAGAAATATTTTATAAGGTTTTTTGGGAGATAGAATAACCATACCCTTCTTATTATGCTCACAAGTATATATAAGAGCATGGTCGGGCCAACCTAGTTTGGAGTTTTACAAGGTGGGACCATATTGAGAGCCACTATAGTACATATGTCCCTTGAAGCTCGAGGTAAGTAATATCAACAACGTGGTGGGACACTTACTAGTCGTTTAGTTTTTAGTGTTGGAGATGAAGAGCTTGAGTGGTCCGAGAAGTATCCGGTCTTGGCATGTGCTTATACACCATCCATTGAGTCTTCGATATTTTTCTAGTGCCAAAGTTGGATGTTGGGGAAAAGGCGAAAATTTTCAATTTTCCTTTTACGTGGGAAGTGTGTCAATTGTTAGATCTAAGGCATTGATTTGAACAAGATCTAATAGCTAGTACATGAGATGCTTTGATTTACGTGCTTGTGTCTATATAATGGGCACTAGGGATGACAATTAAACCCGTACCCGTGGGGACCGACCCGTCCCCGCCTCGAGTTTGATGGAGAAAACCCGAGTTGACCGAGGGCGGGCGGGATGGGTAATGCAATCCCCACCCCGATCTCGACCCCGTCCCCGTCCCGACTTTATATTTAAATTTAAATTTTAAAATATTAATATTTTAAATTTTTTTTCTTTTTCTATTACATATAAAGTCATTTTTTTATATTTCATCAATTTTTTTCTTCTACCCACTTTTTAATTTTTTTGTCTTTTTTAATCTTTTATATCAATTAATTTATTATATTATTCTTTCTCTTACCTTTCAGCTTTTTCACATTTCCTTAATCTCTCTCATCAATTTGTTTTTTTTAATCTTTTCAACCAATTTGATGAACACAAAGTTAATTTTTTTATTCTTTATCTTTTTCTAAATATTTTACATAAATCTTAGTAGTAACTAATATTATTTTATTTAGAATTTATATTTATTAGGTTTTATTATGTCATATTTTTTATCTTATTATTCTTATTTATCATATATCAAATTTTATCTTAATAAAATAATTGTATTTTAAAGGATTAAAAGAAATGATAATTTAAATTTTTATTACTTCGAACTAATTGAATAAGAATTAACTTATTAAATATTTCCTTATAAACTATATATTTCATCTTTTTAAATGACAACTTAAAAATGAATTAACTTATATATATAATCAAATGTTTGAATACAGTATTATAATAATAATGTTATAAGTATTCAAATATTTGAATATAGTGTTATAATAATAATAATGTTATAAATAAAAAATTATTAAATATTTCTTTTACATACATATTTAATATAAATATAATAAATTAAAATGTATATTTAATTAATAATAATTATAAATTATAAAATTATAAATATTTATTTATATATAAAAAATAGATAGTAAAATTAATTTATTATAAATGTAATTATATTTTTAAAAATAATATTGATCTGGGACAAGACTGGGCCGGGAACCCGAAACCCGATGGGGACGGGGATGGAGACTTAATTTCTAACCCTAGCGGGGATCGGGGACTGGGATGGTTAAAAAGTTAGGGGCGGGGATCGGGGAGGCAAAACCTACCCCCGCCCCGCCCCATTGCCATGCCTAGGGCGCGGTGGGCCATTTCTCTCATTCTGCTGCTATGTGTTTTTTGCCCTGCTTAAGTTGCTCTCTTGCTTCTCTGTCAAATTGCCGACCATTAATCTTTGCTTCTTGAGGTAATAATGACTTACTCCTTTCTTTCTTCTTCGTCAAGGGCTTCGAGTGGGTCATCAGTATGGGTTAGGGGTGTGTCTGTTGACCGTCTTCGCGGTGATGGCGTGGAAAAGACCTATATCGACTCTTCAGCCACGACCAACGGTTATGAGTGGGTCGACCATAGGGTTCGGAGTTATTATTCGAAGTACTAGTGCCCAAGTCTGTTAAAGTCCTTTATCGAGTATCAGGAGGGCTCGTTTGATACTATGGTAGTGCTCTATCATTGTGGCACCATGGATAATGTGTGTCATGGCCAAGAAGGTGCTGAGGAGTACTTCTACATGGACCTCTTGCTTGCTTTCTGATATCCATGTGCACCTTCCTTTTGATGAGTTCATGATGGGCATCCTTCGTGTCTTAAACATCACTCCAACGCAGCTGCATCCTAACAATTGGGCTGCCTTACAAGCCTTCTACCTCTTGTGTGAAGCCCTACACGCCAAGTCTTTCTTTCTCACTTCAATACCCGACCGACTTCTCCAGTGAGTTGGGTGTCACATTATTGGCAACTCAACTTCTACCATGCTTACCCCTTACACTTTGTCTTTCAAAAACTTCAAAGGCAGCTTCTTTAAAGTTGTTGTTCGTCGTTCTAATTATGACCACATTTTTTATGGTGATAGCCCTAAAATTCCCCTTGTACTAGACTCACAGCCCACTGCTTTTTAAGAATTGGTCATGTTTTGAGATGTCACCAAATGATATCTGCATGTTAGGAATATTTGAAAAATTGCCCCTCCATTTGCCAACCCAAAAACTTCTTGGCGTTTATCTATCTCCACATCATCTTTCTGGCTTTGATGGTATATGTTGTTTCAATTTGGATGGTTGTCGTTCACTCATTTGACATTTTGTTTAATGTGCATTTTTTTAGACATCCATGGCCATAAAAATTCTAGCAAACAAGAACTTCCTTGAGAAGTATCGACAGTGGAGCATCACTGTTGCCAATAAGGTTAAGGAGGTTACTGTTGTTGTGCCACTGCTACCGTCACCGTCCAACTTGTTACCTACCGCATATGTGCATAAGAAGCACAAAAAAAGGGACAAAGATGTGTTAAAAATACAGGCTGAGATCAAGAGGAGGAGGCGAATTGATCTAATCAAAACTTTTCACAACTTTTGATTACAGATTAACAATTTCAAAGATTTAAAGAAACAAATCTTAATTTAAACCAAATAACAACAATCTTGAATAAAAGAATGAGATGAAAGAAGAATAAGAACACCAAATTTATACTGGTTCACCCAATCCAATGGGCTACATCTAGTTCTCAACTAATTCCAATTGAGTTCCACTAATTAAATTCAATTGATTACAAGTGCAAACTATACAAAACCAATCTACACCAAGAAGTACAACCAAGTTCTTGAACCTATAACAACAACCACAATTCCAGTTGCTTAACCCATGACCACAATTCTAGACACCGAAAATACAAAGAACCGAATGAAGAATCAAGATGCTTGAAGAAACTACAACAATCAAATGAATATGCAGATGCAAAAATCCAATCACGAATGAGTTTCTTCAAAAACAAGAACAAAGAGCCTCAAGAAAGATTTCAAAATAATTCTAGGAGTAAAGCGTGATTCTCTCTTGGAACAGATCTCTAAAGATTGCTTGGATGATTTCTCAAAAGTGTGTCTCAAAACGTAGGCGTGATATATATATATATATATATATATATATATAGAGAGAGAGAGAGAGAGAGAGATTTCTAACTAATTGGTATGATTAATCGATTAATTCGCAATTTGATCAATTAAAACAACTTAGTTTAAATGAATTTAACTGATAAAAATGCTTTTTAATCGATTAAAAAGCTTTTGTCAATTTTTTCCTAGACATTTTAACTAATAAAAATGTGGTTTAATCGATTAAAAAAGTTCTGAATATTTTTCAGAGACGTTAACAAAAATGAGCTTTAATCAATTAAAAGAATTCTATACATTTTTCAGAGATATTTTAACTGATAAAAACGAGGTTTAATCGATTAAAAGAATTCTGAATATTTTCCAAAGACGTTTTAACTAATAAAAACGTTGTTTAATCGATTAAAATTGTGACACAAAAATGTTTAAGTGTTTTTAATCAATTATTTCGAAAATGTATAAATTAACACTGAGACTAAAAGTGTTTTCAAGCTACTTAAGTGAGTTTAATTGATTATTTCATAAACGTATCATTAAAATTGTGATTACAGATGTTCTTTAGCTGCTTAAGTGAAATTAATCGATTATTTCGAAAACATATCAATTAAAACTGTGACTACACATGTTCTTTAACTACTTAAGTGAATTTAATCAATTATTTCGAAAACATATCAATTAAAAACCTTACTGAAGAACATATTAACCAATTAAATGATTTTTAACATAAATACTTGAGGCACTTTATACTTTGTAAAAGAAAGAAACTTATGCTTGAGGAGAGGATAGTTTCTTATACCTACATAATGTAGATGCAGACATACTAATGGACTAACACAACATTTTCTTTTAACATCTTCTTTTGACTTCATCAAATCTTCTAGCAAGACTTCCAAGATTCTTCCTATTAGCTTCTTCATCAAGATGCTCACGGCCATTGTGGTGATTCTCCCTGCCTTTCACCAAAGAGAATGCGGACACACATCTCTAGCACCAATTCGGTCGTTTGTGCTTCTAACCAATTTGTAGGCTCTGATCACCAACTCGGCTTAAAAGCTACATTGGACATGTCAGTGATCAAGAAGGATTTGTATATGGTCATTGATCATGCGGAGATGTTGTAGGCTTTCATCAAGCTCTAGGCTCAAGCCCTTGTCTTGGGTAAGAGGCTGAGGGCTGATGTGATAAAAAGCGACGAGTGTTCAGACTTAGCCCGCGTCAAGGGTAGCCAGTCTAAACTTCAAATTCTCTTTGGGAAGCCCTAGATATGAATTTGGCCCTTAATGTTGAGTTCGTTAAGTTAGGTAAAAAAATCTTGGCAATAAGGGTGGAGGGCGACGAGCTGAGGGAAAGATTGACATGTGCGGAAGAAGAGAATAAGGCCATTATGGACAAGGTGGCTGACCTTTCCTCTCTCCATGAGTTGAAGGTCACTACAAAGGTAATGACCATGAAGGAGTTGACTGAGATCAAGGACTATGTTGTCCAAGAGCACATGGAGGGATTTAAGAAGGCCATCCATCAGATGCACTTCTTCGTAGGGAGCGGCATATCTTGAAGCAAGACGAAGTTTGATGTTGAGTACGACATTCATAACAGGTCTCTTGTTCACATTAATGACCTCTCAGATGATGCCTAGTGTATTTTTCTTTGTCTTTTGTTTGAATATATACCCATCGGATTTGTTTTCAAACTTTTTTGAAATGACGATGTTGATTAGGCTTGTTCCCGACTTTTGATGTACATTTTTAACTTGCAATGAAATTTCGTTATTAACGTGTTAGTTTGTTCTTGTTCCGTGTTATTTTTGGGTGTTATTAGATAATGTTTTATTTTCTTTTTTGCCTTAATTACTTGATATTGATTTTAGTTTATTTTAGAGAGATTTCTCATTGAAGGAACAAAGTGTCCTTAACCGACTTGCTCCTAGGAGGGGTCATTTAGAAGTGAATCATCTTAGGCTGAGGAGTGCTAGTGATGAATGGAACGATTGTGCTTTATTTATGAATGATCATGCCTCGTTAAAACCTCCCCATCCAAAACTCTCCTTAGGGAAAAAAGACTAGTGGTAGGAAAGAGTACATGTCGGTACAGAGTACACAAACATAACTAAAATAAAATTTGAGAAGTGACACAAGCCAAGTACACAATATTGATTTGTTAGTTAACTCTTCCAAACGGTAGGCTTTTGTTGCCTAGTGCTTATATTATCCTATAAGGTCCTTCCCAAATAGATGATAAATTACCTTTTGTCGGGTCCTTCCTCGCACATCCTCTTGATCAGAGTACTAGGTCTCCTTGTCGAAAAATTCTCAATTGCAATTGAAGATAAGTCAATTCGGGGTACAAGCCAAATATGCAAGTTCCACACACAAGTTTTGACTTCATTCAAATGTGATTCAAAAATCTATACAAGGGGTCATATATAGTTAATCCGCTCTCATTCACTCACTCACCTAAGGAATGTGGGACTTATTTGGCCTTATACAAGTGATGACCGAAGTTCCTAGCTTCAAGTACCACCTAGCCCAATTTCAATCACATTTATGAGTTTATATACCAAAAAACTCTCAAATGTTGCAACCAAGAGTTGAACATTGGACCTCCTTGAGTGTTTGGAGTGCTTTGGCCGAATTTGCGAAGCTAGAATGCTTTTTGTGGCAACCAAGACTTGAACCTTGCCCTCTTTTTTTAAGTGCTGCACCTTCACTCCCATCTCCTCTCGAATTTGGCTTTCTTCAAGTGTTTATATACATGATACCTCTCCAAAGTTGTAACCAAGAGTAGAAATTGTACTTCTAGCTGTTGAAACATACAAGGATATGAACGTTGAACATTTATGGATATGAAGCTTGTTGATTTTGATGATGATTCAAGAATAAAGGACTTAAAGAGTTGAAGACTTGTAATGTTATGTAATAACTCTGTTTTTATGATTTTGAGTCTGTAATATTAGAGTCCAAGATAGCCAGCACATAGTCCACTCTTTAAAGGCTTTAAAAACTCATTTTTATCAAAAACATATTGGATTAATCGATTAAATGGCAGGATAATCGATTATTACAGAGAGAAAACCATTTTCAGCATTTGCTCTCGGGAATAATCGATTAAACACCCCGTTAATAGATTAACCGGGCTGTTAATCAATTAAATGCCCAGTTAATCGATTAAATTGAGCTGTTTTGGGTTCCCTGCAAATTTGGCTCTGGAATAATCAATTAACACTCAAGATAATCGATTATTTCAGTCAGATATGTGTTTTGAATTTCAAAATTGGACCAAGTTTCGAAAACCCTATTCCCAATTCATCTGTTTTCGAAAATCCCCAATTCCCAAACCCTAATCTTTCTACTTAAGGTTCTCTAAGGCTCTCTGCAAAAATGAACAACCTTCTTCAAACAAAAGTTAAGAGTTGTGACTGCCAGAGAACTGTTTGTTGGAGGAAAAAGGGGCTTTTGAAACCTAGTTTGGGCTAGAAGCGATAAGAATCACTGAGTGGGTTTTCTTGGTGGATTGTGTGTTGTGCCGTCTCTAGGAAAAGTTGTTCTTCATCCTTTGTGGGATTCAAAGGAGGTGTTCATCTCTTGTGTGACTCAAGAGAGGTGTATTCTTTACCTTATCTTTTCATTTGTAATCTATTTGTATAACTGTGATTATAGTGACAGCGTTAATCCTCTATTTGAGTGATTAGCAAATGGACGTAGGGTCTTTTGATCTGAATCAGTATAAATCGACTGTGTAATTTTCTATCCCTTCTCTATTTACTTTACACAACATTTTAATTGGTGAAATGTGGGAAAAATTTTAAAACCCTAATTTTTGTTTAAGAAACCAATTCACCCCCTCTTGGTTTTTTTCCGGAAACGCAAACATTCCGCTCCGCGATTCTAACAAGTGGTATCAGAGCTTGCTTTGATAGTCATTCAAATTTTCGAAAATGGCCGGACAAAATCAAACGTTTGCCGAGGGTGCTTCTATCAATAGACCCCCACTTTTTGTAGGGCAAAATTATCCGTTTTGGAATGTTAGAATGCAAATATTTTTAGAGTCTGTTGATAGAGGTGTTTGGGACGCAATTTTAAATGGACCTTTTATTCCTAAAATTACTGAAAACGGAGAAGAGGTACCAAAACCATTCTCTGGATGGTCGGCTGAGGAAAATAGAAAAGCCCAATATGATGTTAGGGCTAGAAATATTATTTCATCTGCTTTAACCCTTGATGAGTTTTACAGGATCTCTGTCCATAAAAGTGCTTAAGAAATGTGGGAAATGTTAAGAGTAACCCACGAAGGTACCGACGATGTAAAAAGAGCACAGAAGAATTCATTGATCCAAGAATATGAGATGTTCCGGATGCAACAAGGAGAAACAATCTTTGACGTTCAAAAGTGTTTCACGCACATAGTGAATCATCTCACTAGGTTAGGTAAAATTTTTGATGTTGATGAATTAAATGTAAAAATTCTGAAATCTTTGGATAGGAAATGGCAACCTAAGGTGATGACCATCACAGAGTCACAAAATCTAGCAACAATGTCTATGGAGGCGCTCTTTGGAAAGTTGAGAGAGCACAAACTTGAACTTTGAAGGCTAAATGATGAATAAGGTCAACACCAAAAGAGGAACCTAGCCTTCAAAACTGAAATTTTCAAGAGTAAGAACAAGAAGGACGAAGAAGACTCAGAAAATGAAGAAGAAGAACAATTGAGTCTTATGATAAAGAAATTTACCAAGTTTATGAAAGCCAAAGGGAAGCAACCCTTCAAAGGTAAGGGAAAGGTAAGAGAAAGTATTTCTTTAAATATCAAATGTTATGGTTGTGGTGAAACAGGACATGTAAAAACCGAATGTCCAAACAAGAAGAATGAAGATAACAAAGGCAAGAAATTCTTCAAGAAGAAAGCCTACATTGCTTGGGATGATAGTGACTCAAGTTCGGAGTCAAGTGATTCGGAAATAGAAGCTAACATTTGCTTGATGGCAAAGACAATATATCTTCCGACTTTGAGGTTATTGATTCCGACTCTTCGTCAAGTGATGATGAAAATAACTTTGATGAATTAAAAAATGCATATGAAGAATTGTTTAATGCTTTTAAGGACTTGAAAAATGAATACAAATTTGTGAAAAAGTTTTTGAATAAATCCGAAAAAGAGGTGGAGTCCTTAAAAACGAAAATTGTATGTTTAGAGAAAAAGGATAATAAGAATATAGCATGTGCATCATGTAAAGAGTATGAACATGAAATTGATTTATTTAGACATTTGCTTGATAAAGCTAAGAAGGAAATAAGTGATAATTATAAGGATAAAATTGCTACTGTTCAAAATAGAGAAAATTGTCATGTTCCTTTGAAAAAGCCTAAAATTAAAAATAGAAATGTATCACATTCTAAAATTACATCTAATGCATGCTTTTATTGTATGAAACATGGTCATACTTCAAATAGATGTAGAATTAAGCATTTTGATGTTCCTAAAGGAAAATATGTTTGGGTTCCTATAGTTAAATGATTTGATTGTCTCTAACCCCAAGGACCCAAAAGTTATGGGGACCTAAGATTACTATGTTCTTATTTTGTAGGAAACTTCCAAATCCAAGAAGTCTATGTGGTATCTTGATAGTGGATGCTCAAAACATATGACTGGAGACAAAACGAAATTTGTAAGCTTCAAAGCTAAAGAACAAGGATATGTAACCTATGGGGACAACAACAAAGGAAAGATTCTTGGAATCGGAAACATTGGTGGTGCAAACACTTTGGAGATAAAATATGTGCTTGTTGTTGATGGGCTAAAACATAATCTCCTAAGTATAAGTCAACTTTGTGACAAAGGATTCAAGGTAATCTTTGAAAGTAAGTTTTGTACCATACATTTAGTGAATTCCGAAAATGTAGCATTGAAAGGCAATAAGCATAATAATATCTATTTGATTGATTTGGATTGTATACATGATACTAGTATAACATGCTTAGTTGCTAAGGAAGAAAACCCATGGTTATGGCATAAGAGAGCGGCTCATATAAATATGCATCAATTAAACAAATTAATATCAAAGGACTTAGTTGTTGGTTTGCCTAAGTTAAAGTTTGAAAAAGATAGATTATGTGATGCATGTCAAAAAGGTAAACAAGTGAAATCATCCTTTAAATCTAAGAATGTTATTTCCACATCAAAACCTTTAGAACTTTTACATTTAGATTGATTTGGTCCATCTAGGATAAAAAGTTTTGGTGGAAATTATTATGCTCTTGTGATTGTTGATGATTTTTCTAGATATACTTGGACATTTTTCTTAACTTTAAAAAGTGAAGCTTTTAAGGTCTTTAGGAAGTTTGCCAAGAAAATCCAAAATGAGAAAGACTTAAGAATTAAGGTGTTAAGAAGTGACCATGGTGGAGAGTTTCAAAATGAATGGTTTGAAAATTATTATGAGGAAAATGGAATTTTGCATAATTTTTCTGCACCTAGGACTCCCCAACAAAATGGTGTAGTAGAAAGGAAAAATAGGTCACTAGAGGAACTTGCTAGAACAATGATAAATGAATCAAATGT